ACCCCCGTACCATCCAGCACCCTCCCTGGGTGACAACCCAAGGCCATCCCTGTCCAAGGGGAATGTGAAGCCAGGGGAGAGACAGCTGCCCGGGCACAGGTTGAAGCCCACAGTGCAGGTCTCTGCCCGGCCTTGGTTGGGCCACGCCAAGTTCAGCTCAGAAAGATGACAAGGACAGGCCGGGCTCGGTGACTCACGCCTGTGATTCTAGCACTCTGGGAGGCGGAGGCAGGTGGATTGTTTGAGCTCAGTAGTTCGGGACCAGCCTGAGCAAGAGTGAGACCCTGTCTCTACTAAAAATACAAAGAAATTAACTGGCCAACTAAAAATATATAGAAAAAATGACCCAGGCATAGTGGTGCATGCCTGTAGTCCCAGCTACTCGGGAGGCTGAGGCAGGAGGATCACTTGAGCCCAGGAGTTTGAGGTTGCTGTGAGCTAGGCTGACGCCACGGCACTCACTCTAGCCTGGGCAACAGAGTGAGACTCTGTCTTGAAAAAAAAAAAAGAATGTACTATTTTTATACCTAAAATATCTAGAAATGAATGCCTTTAAAAGGGAAAATTCAAGCATTTGGTGGGAATTCCTGCTCTGTATATAAGGGTCACGTTTTCTAGTTCCGGCTTCCAAATCTGACAAGGGCGCCTTGCAGCCTTTATCCTGGGGAGGGCACCCCCCCCACTCCCCCCCCTCCCCAGCATGTGAAGCCTTGTGCGCTCAGATCAGCGGGACGCCACCCTCGCCCCGCCCCCCCCCTGCAGCTCTGGTCTCACCTGAGACCCGACTGCCGGTTCTCGCTCTCCCAGGACGCACGGGCGGCCCTGGGCCCCTTCGACCCCTCCCGGCTGCTGCCCGCCTGCCGGGACTACTGGACCTACGCGGGCTCCCTCACCACGCCGCCGCTGGCCGAGTCGGTCACCTGGATCCTCCAGAGGCAGCCCATCGAGGTGGCTCCCAGCCAGGTAACCCGAGTGACAGGATGGGAGGGCGACGTCCCTCCCCTCGGAGGTTTCACTTAGTCACGGCGCCCCAGCGTCCATGCTCCCGCACGAGGACGGCTTCCAGCTGCAACAGGAGCTTGTTGAGCTTGGACACAGGCCCCCCCTTGCCACAGCCCTTCTCTCGCTGAGACTCGGGGGCCTGACCCGGCGGAGACAGTGCCTGGCAGCGCCGTCCACTCCCCCGTGGCCCCGCTCCGGGGCGCGGCGGGACCCTGGGCACACACGGCTGAACTAGGGCAGGCGCTCTCCCGTCTGTGTCCGGGCGAAGTCACTGCAGAAAAACAGAAGTGACGCGACCGCTGGCACTGAGTCCCAGCCCCTGATAGGGACCCAGTGGGCATTTGTGAGTAGGAGGCTCCGGGCCTCTCCCCTGTGCGCAGACCGCACGGGAGAGACGGCGTCGGGGTGGGAGCGGGCGCTGCCTGGGACGCGGCTCTTGTCCTGCTGCGGTGCCCTGTGCCTCGGCCTCCCCAAGGAGGAACAAGAGGGTTAGAGCCTTAAGAGGTGACGGTCAGAGAGGGACAGTGGGGGCTGGGCGAGGTGGCTCACGCCTGTCATCCCGGCAATCTGGGAGGCCGAGGCAGGCGGATTGCTTGAGGTCAGGAGTTCGAAATCAGCCTGAGCAAGAGCGAGACCCCGTCTCTACTATAAATAGAAAGAAATTAATTGGCCAATGAATATATATATAGAAAAAAAATGAGCCGGGCATGGTGGCGCATGCCTGTGGTCCCAGCTACTCAGGAGTCAGGAGGATTGCTTGAGCCCAGGAGTTTGAGGTTGCTGTGAGCTAGGCTGATATCACGGCACTCACTCTAGCCTGGGCAACACAGTGAGACTCTGTCTCAAAAAAAAAAAAGAGGGACAGTGGGGACCACAGCCACGTGCTCACCAGAGCCACGTTCCAGCCACGTGGGCCGACCCCGCGTGCAGGACGTGCCCTGACCTGCTCTGGGGCCCCGAGAGCAAGAAAGATGTCACAGATGCAGCCTGGACATTGGTGACAGAAGGAGGGAGGGAGGGAGAGGAGATTTTTGAGTCTGTTCTGCTCCTTTGGGTGATGGAGCAGTGAGAAGTTTAGACGGCACAGGGTCTTCTCACACGCTGTGCTGGGAGGCTGGGGAGCCACACGGGCCCAGAGGGAGGCGCAGGTGGACTGCACCAGTCAGCCGTTGCCGCGACAGCGCTGCGTAACAAAACACCCGCAGTGGTCACGGCAGTGTTTATTGTTCCCGCTCACGGGTCCGTGTGTTGGCTGGAGGCTCCTGGGCTGTGGAGGGTGGAGCTGTGGGGAAGGCTGGGGCTGGTCCAGGGTCTCCCTTGTGTCCTAGACCAGTGGCTACCAGGGCAGGGGCTCGTGGTCAGCGACAGAGAGGCCAGTGACACACACACCCTGAAGCCCCTGCTGGCCTCGCGCATACTCTCATCCTGTTGGGCAGAGCAAGGCTCCATGGGAAGGCCGTGGAGTGACCGAGCAGGGCCCTAACCTGTCACCTACACACCCTGCAAGCTGAGAGCCCTTGTCTCAGGGTCATGGGTCTGCAGTGGCTTTTCTTTTCTTCTTCTTTTTTTTTTTTTTGTCTTGAGACACAGTCTCCCTCTGTTTCCCGGGATAGAGTGCCGTGGCGTCAGCCTAGCTCACAGCAACCTCCAACTCCTGGGATCAAGCGATCCTCCTGCCTCAGCCTCCCGAGTAGCTGGGGCTACAGGCATGCGCCACCATGCCCGGCCAGTTTTTTCTATATGTTTTTAGCTGGCCAATTAATTTCTTTCTATTTATAGTAGAGACGGGGTCTCGCTCTTGCTCAGGCTGGTTTTGAACTCCTGACCTTGAGCAATCCGCCCGCCTCGGCCTCCCAAGAGCTAGGATTACAGGCGTGAGCCACAGCGCCCGGCCTCAAATGTATACTTTTTAAAAAGTCATAGTATCTTCTCTCTGGAAATCTTAAGAATCTGCAGGAATTCTGCCCGTCTAAGGTAGTTTGGAGTTTGGGGGTGACAGATGCACAGTGTCGGCCACCGCTCCCCACACCCGCCTGGTCAGGCATCTCGCAGCGGTCCTAGGGGGGATTGTCATCCTGGTGACACTCATTTCTTGTCTGTCAAAAGTTCCGTGGGGTGGGGATTTGGGTGGTTCTGCCTTAAGACCCTTCACGGACTGGCAGTGGGACATGGCTGGGGCTGCCGCTATCCTGAGCGGGGCGGGAGGTCCGTCCCCCGAGGCGGCCTCCCAGTGGCTCCTCTCCCCGGGCGGCTGGAGCAGTGCACGGCACAGCGGCCGGCCTCCCCGCACCAGTGACCTTGGACGCCAAGGTGGCAGCCGCAGTGCTTCTGTGACCTTGCCGTGGCCCACACCCACCCTCACTCCCTCCCCGTTTACTGGTCACTTGGCGCCGTCCCCATTCGGCGGGGGTGCGGGGGCTGCCCGCCGCCCTGCGACGGCTCACGCGCCCGCCCGTGTCTCCCCAGCTCTCGGCGCTGCGCTCGCTCCTGTGCTCCGCCGCCGGCGAGGAGGAGACGGTGATGGCGGACAACTACCGCCCGCTGCAGCCCCTGCTCGGCCGCACGGTCCGAGCGTCCTTCCCGGCCACCAGAGAGGGTCCACGTGGGTAGGCGGGACTGGCTTTGAGAAGAGGGAATCACAATGTGATTGATCGTATTCGACTTTCGAAATTAAAAAGAGAGAGGTCGTTGTTGCAGTCCGTGTGCTTTTCAGCGGCAGTGAAAGAAATCCCTTCAAAGGAACGTGAGTGCCACGGGGACATATCAGTGGGACGCAGGGGTGGGTCACGGGGCCTCGGGAGAAGCGCCACTCACCAGGGTTGTCGGTGGCCCCCAGCTCCACTCTCCCTTTCTCCCCCACGGGCGTCCTCGTCACCGCGACGGCCACCCCTCCGTTCCCACGGGACACAAGGCAGAAACTAACACCCTCCTTCCCGATGTCAAGTTCCTAGAGCATCCGTTCGCTGGAGCTGCCGTGACAAAGTGCCACGAACTTAGTGCTTAAAAGACAGAGATTGACTCTCAGGGTTGAGAGAGCCAGAGCTGGGGTCCAGGTGTCCAGGGGTCCCCTCTGAGGGCTCCGGGAGGACCCTTTTCCTGCCTCTCCAGCCTGTGTCCCTTCTGAGGACCGCGTGAGGACGTGGCCCCCCCTGGATAGCCCAGGGGTCTCTCCCCAGCCTCAAGACCCTCCGTTAGTCACACCTGCAAAGCACACCTGCAAAGCCCCTTTCGGCCACGTGAGGTCACGTAGCCCGGCAGGTTCTAGGATTAGGGTGTGGACGTCCTTCGGGGCACTGTCCCGCTGACCACAGTCCCTACCGTGACACCCCTGGCGCTGGGGTGTGGGGAGGGTGGCTGCTCTGTCAGGTCACACTCCCGGGCCCCGGGGTCAGGAAGTGGCCATCGTGGGCGCATTCTTCAGCCCCACGCCGTACGGGCAGAGCCAGGCTCGAACCTTCAGCCGAGCAGCCCCGAGGCTGGTCCCCCCGGGCTGCCTGGGGTGGCACGGGGGAGGCCACCGGGGCGTGCGGCATGTCGGAAAATGCTCTAGACTAGGGTTGACCTATGGCACTTCCTGAGACGATGGAATGTTCGCAAGAACTGCACTCTCTCTGCACTGGCAACCCTTGAGCGCTCAATCTGTGGTGGTGGCACGATGGAGGAAGTAAATTGTAATTGCACTCGATTTTAATTAGTAAGGGTCGGAAAGCCTCATGCACGGCACAGCTCTCTCGTCGCTGGGCGGCACAGTCACGTGGGTTTGCACGTACGGAAAGCCACGGGGAGGGGGGAACACTCGAGATTCGAGCCTCTGCACATTTCACTGTGTCTACAGTAACACCACGCCTCAATTTAAAGAAAACGCTTTGCTGCCCGCCTGAGAGCTGGTTTCTGAGCCTCTGCAGACCTGGCCCTTCCGCAGCTCGGGGCAGCGTCGGGCTGAGAGGCAGAAGGGCGAACGCGGCCGTCAGCGTGGTCACTGGCACACGGCGCGGACGCACAGGGCCCCGCCTGCGCCTCAGCCCCCGAGGGCATCTCGGAACACAGTCCCCTGGAGCCAGCGTCACCAGGCAACGACGCCTGCTGTGTTTGCTGAGGCTCCCGCAGGTAATTCCTTCTCCAGAAAAAGTGTTTAAAAGGAAAGGCGTCCCAGGAGTGTGAGGTTGCTGTGAGCGAGGCTGACGCCACGGCACTCACTCTAGCCTGGGCAACACAGTGAGACTCTGTCCCACCCCCTAAAAAAAAAAGAAAGGAAGAAAAGGAAAGAAAGAGAGAGAGAGAGAAGAAAGAAAGGAAAAAAAAAGAGAAAGAAAGAAAGAAAAGAAGGAAAGAGAGAGAAGTCCGGACGCGGTGGCTCATGCCTGTAATCCTAGCACTCTGGGAGGCCGAGGCGGGCAAATTGCTCGAGGTCAGGAGTTCAAAACCAGCCTGAGCAAGAGCGAGACCCCGTCTCTACTATAAATACAAAGAAATTAATTGGCCAACTAATAGTATATTATTAAAAAATCGAGCCGGCGATTGGTGGCGCATGCCTGTTTTAGTCCCAGCTACTCGGGAGGCTGAGGCAGAAGGATTGCTTGAGCCCAGGAGTCTGAGGTTGATGTGAGCTAGGCTGACACCATGGCACTCACTCTAGCCTGGGCAAGAAAGCGAGACTCCTCTCTCAAAAAGAAACGGAAAGGAAGGAAGGGAAGGAGGAAGGATTAGTGAAGGAAGGAAGGAAGGAAGGAAGGAAGGAAGGAAGGAAGGGAAGGAGGAAGGAAGAAGGAAGGAAGGATAGAAGGAAGGAAGGAAGGAAGAAGGAAAGGAAGAAGGAAGGGAGAAGAAAGAAAGAAAGAAAGAAGAGAAAAAGAGAAAGAAAGAAAAGAAAGAAAACGAAAGAGAGAAAGAGAGAGAGAGAAAAGAAAGGAGAAAGGGAAGGAAGGGAAGGAAAGAGAGACAGAGAGAAGAAGAGAGAAAGAAAGAAAGAAAGAAAGAAAGAAAGAAAGAAAGAAAGAAAGAAAGAAAGAAAGAAAGAAAGAAAGAAAGAAAGAAAGAAAGAAAGAAAAGGTGTGTTGGCTCCTACCGGGAGCCCACATCTGGTGGTGACAGGACGGGCTGGGAGGAACCAACACAGACGTTGAAAAGGCAACGAGGTCGGGAACGAATGCGTCTCTGTTCCCGTTCTGCGCTTACGTCCCTCACAGCCGGCCACGTAGGGGCGCCTGCCGGTCGGCAGGGAGCACGGGCATGGGCACGGGCACCAGCGACGGGCCACACCGCCCCGTCCCGCTGCCGTCCCGGGCACGGGGCTGAGTGTCCTCTGCCCCACGGTGGGACAGGACCACACGGAGGCCCAGCCTCACCCCCAAAGCTTGCGGTGCCCTGGGCCCGGGGGAGGGTGCCTCACTGGACTGTGTAGCCGGGGGCGGGCCGCCCAATCCCACAGAGTCGTGGCCACGAGTTCTGTGAAATCATCCCCAGCTTTTAAAGGGGAAACTGAGGCTCGCCTGAGAAGCTGAGAGCCTCGTCAGCGGCCCTCCCAGGCGCAGGGACAGGCAGCGTGTTGCCCCTGCTGTGCTGACTGGCTCCACAAGGGA